GTCTAACAGCCTCAGGGTAGAAGCTGTTCCTCAGTCTAGTGGTTCTACACTTAATGCTCCTTAACCTCCTTCCTGAGGGGAGTGGGGCAAAAAGTGTGTGTGCTGGGTGAGTGGGGTCCTTCATGATGCAGGTGGCCCTCTTCCTGCATCTGGAGGTGTAGATGTCTGTGATGGTGGGGAGACTGATTCCAACAGATTTCTGTGCAGCCTTCACCACTCTCTGCAAAGCTTTTCTTTCTGCAGCTGTGCAGCCTCCATGCCACACATTGATGCTCGAGCACAGGATGCTCTCCACTGCACACCTGTAGAAGGAGGTGAGGACTGAGCTTCCCAGACCAGCTCGCCTCAGCCGTCTGAGGAAGTAGAGTCTCTGATGAGCTTTCTTGATCAGGCTGGTGGTGTTGTTGCTCCAGCTGAGGTTGTCATTCATGTGTACACCCAAGTACTTGTAGCTGGAGACCACTTCCACCGCAGATCCTCTTATGTTCAGGGGGGTGTAGGTGTTTTTGTTCCTTCTGAAGTCCACAATCATCTCCTTTGTCTTTTTCACATTGATGTGAAGGTTATTCTCTCTGCACCAGCTCTCCAGATGTTCCACCTCTTGCCTGTAGCTGGACTCATCATTGTTTGTGATGCATCCCACCACCGCTGTCTCATCTGCAAACTTTACAATGTGACAGCCTGGATGGGTAGCTGCACAATCATACGTGAGCAGAGTAAACAGGAGGGGGCTCAACACACATCCCTGAGGAGAGCCAGTGCTGAGGGTTATGGTGGAGGAGGAGAGGTTGTGGATCCTCACTAACTGTGGTCTGTTTGTTAAAATGTCTAGTACCTAGTTGCAGATGGAGGGGCTTAGTCCTAGTGTGGAAAGTTTGTCCATCAGGGTTTGGGGGATCATGGTGTTGAAGGCGGATGTGAAGTCCACAAAGAGCATACGGACGTAAGAGTTTTTCTGCTCCAGGTGGTTGAGCGCAGTGTGGACCACAGAGGAGATGGCATCCTCTGTTGATCGGTTCTCACGGTATGCATACAGATGAGGGTCCTCGTTGATGTTGATGGTTGTTTTGATGCGAGTCATGACCAGTTTTTCAAAGCATTTAGCGACTATCGGGGTGAGGGCCACTGGCCGATAGTCATTCAGACCAGTCACTGTAGAGCTTTTTGGGACTGGGATGATGGTGGGTGGCAGTCTTCAGGCAGGTGGGAACTGTCTCCAGGGTAAGTGAGGTGTTAAAGATGTCTGCCAGCACCTCACAGAGCTGATCAGCACATTCCTTCAACACTTTTCCGGGGATGTTGTCTGGGCCAGTTGCCTTGTGCAGATTAATCCTCCTGAAGGTACTCCTTACTTCTGCTGAGGTCACGCTGAGATGCTCTTCATCCGGTGGCGAGGTGAGTCTGGTGCTGGGTGGTCTGTTCGGGTCTTCAAAGCGTGCATAGAACTTGTTGAGGGCATCAGGCAGAGATGGGTCTTTGGGGCATTGTTCACTCCTTCCTTTATAATCTGTTATGCACTTAATGCCCCTCCACATGCTCCGAGGGTCTTGTGAGATGAATTGACCCTCGATCCTCTTTGCATATGTGCCCTTGGCCCTCTTAATACCAGCAACCAGCTCTTTTCTTGTCCTACTCAGCTCCTCTGAGTTTCCAGACCTGAAGGCAGTGTTCCTGGCTTCCAGCAGGGTACGCACCTCTGCATTCAGCCAAGGTTTTCTGTTTGGGTAGCTTTTAACATTTCTGATAGTGGAGACTGTGTCAGTACATGTACTAATGTAACCCAGAACTGAGGATGTGTATTGGTCAAGATCAAGCGAACCTCCATTTTCAGCAGCTTCCTTGAAAAGCCTCATTTTAAGCCTCATGTCGAAAACTTGGTAAAGAAAGTGAAAGTTAAACTGGGTTTCTTTTTCGGAAATAAATCCTGTCTAACTCTGAATGCTAGGAAACACCTTGTAACTGCAACTTTCCTTCCTTCCATTGACTACAGTGACATTATTTGCATGAACGCCCTTACAAGCACCCTGCAGATGTTGGATGCTGTCTATCATGGTGCAGTAAGATTCATAACTGGCTGCAACTATTGTATCCATCACAGCACCCTGTATTCACTGGTTAACTGGTCATCAATAACTTCACATAGACTCTCTCACTGCTACATTTTCATCTTTAAATCACTTTTTGGTCTGCTGCCTTCATACATCTCCTCCTTTCATGTCTCTGCGTGAGTGAGTGCAGCTACAGCGTGCGCTCTCAGGATATTATTGCATGCAATGTCCCCTCAGTGCAGACTGAACTAGGCAAAAGGGCCTTTATGATTGTCTATTGTTGTCTGTACCTTATATGTGTTCTTTGTTTAAAACAGGTCTCTTGTAAATGAGTCCTCATGACTCAATTCAAATTCAAAAATACTTTAATAATCCCAAAGGATTAATTGTTGTTGTAGCTCATCCTGGTTTCATTAGAGTTGTTATAGATGCAGATGGCTCTGGGCAGGAAGGATCTCTTTTAACAGTCCGTCCCACAGCAGATCCAAAGAAACTGGCAGCAGATGCCGATCCATCCACCCAGACCCAGCAGACCTCTCATTCCTCTTGGGCAGCAGGACTGCCTGAATGTCAGATAGAACTCCTCCCTGAGCGATGGTCATTTCTCCCAGTACCCTGTTGCACCCCTCGTCGCCTCAGACTTAACTGCAGGTGTCGAGGGACAATCTTGGTCCTCCCGCTGTCACAGGCAGTGTTTTCCGCTACCTCCAAGATCTTGGAAGTTAAGTATTAGAGCACTGCCACCAGGTAGATGGTAATGCATCCACAGCACCTCCTTTTCAACTCATTTGGGATTTGGGGCTGTAGTTGAGGTATTATTTGAGCTTTTGAGATGTTAATCAGCTGCTCTGTAGAAAACCACCTTGTTGTTATGGTTAGCACAGTGGCAGCTGGGGGAGTTTTCTTCAGGGAAGGATATAACTCCAAAATAGACACACACACACATATACAGTGCCTTGCGAAAGTATTCGGTCCCCTTGAACTTTTCAACCTTTTGCCACATTTTAGGCTTCAAACATAAAGATATAAAATTTTAATGTTTTGTGAAGAATCAACAACAAGTGGGACACAATCATGAAGTGGAATGAAATTTATTGGATGTGTCAAACTTTTTTAACAAATTAAAAACTGAAAAGTGGGGCGTGCAATATTATTGGGCCCCCTTGCGTTAATACTTTGTAGCGCCGTCTTTTGCTGCAGTTCCAGCTGCAAGTCTCTTGAGGTTTGTCTCTGTCAGTTTTGAACATGGAGAAACTGAAATTCTGCCCATTCTTCCTGCAAAACAGCTCGAGCTCAGTGAGGTTGGATGGAGAGCGTTTGTGAACAGCAGTCTTCAGCTCTTTCCACAGATTCTTGATTGGATTCAGGTCTGGACTTTGACTTGGCCATTCCAACACCTGGATATGTTTATTTGTGAACCATTCCATTGTAGATTTGTCTTTATGTTTTGGATCATTGTCTTGTTGGAAGATAAATCTCCGTCCCAGTCTCAGGTCTCTTGCAGACTCAAACAGGTTTTCTTCCAGAATGGTCCTGTATTTGGCCCCATCCATCTTCCCATCAATTCTGACCATCTTCCCTGTCCCTGCTGATGAAAAGCAGGCCCAAACCATGATGCTGCCACCACCATGTTTGACAGTGGGGATGGTGTGTTCAGGGTGATGAGCTGTTGCTTTTACGCCAAACATATCATTTTGCATTGTGGCCAAACAGTTTGATTTTGGTTTCATGTGACCAGAGCACCTTCTTCCACATGTTTGGTGTCTCCCAGGTGCTTGTGACAAACTTTAAACAACACTTTTTATGGATATGTTTGAGAAATGGCTTTCTTCTTGCCACTCTTCCATAAAGGCCAGATTTGTGCAGTGTACGACTGATTGTTGTCCTATGGACAGACTCTCCCACCTCAGCTGTAGATCTCTGCAGTTCATCCAGAGTGATCATGGGCCTCTTGGCTGCATCTCTGATCAGTCTTCTCCTTGTTCCAGATGAAAGTTTAGAGGGACGGCCGGGTCTTGGTAGATTTGCAGTGGTCTGATACTCCTTCCATTTCAATATGATTGCTTGCACAGTGCTCCTTGGTATGTTTAAAGCTTGGGAAATCTTTTTGTATCCAAATACGGCTTTAAACTTCTTCACAACAGTATCTCAGACCTGCTTGGTGTGTTCCTTGGTCTTCATGATGCTCTCTGCACTTTGAACAGAACCCTGAGACTATCACAGAGCAGGTGCATTTATACGGAGACTTGATTACACACAGGTGGATTCTATTTATCATCATCAGTCATTTGGGACAACAATGGATCATTCATAGATCCTCACTGAACTTCTGGAGTGAGTTTGCTGCACTGAAAGTAAAGGGGCCCAATAACATTGCACGCCCCACTTTTCAGTTTTTTATTTGTTCAAAAAGTTTGACACATCCAATAAATTTCATTCCACTTCACGATTGTGGCCCACTTGTTGTTGATTCTTCACAAAAATTTAAATTTTATATCTTTATGTATGAAGCCTGAAATGTGGCAAAAGTTTGAAAAGTTTAAGGGGACTGAATACTTTCGCAAGGCACTGTATATATATATATATATATAATCACCTTTTAGTTACTGCCTTGCTCATTTCTGTTTTGAGCTGTTTTTGCCAAGTCCAGTTTTTAGCTTGTCTTGCTAATTTTACCTTTTTTATACTGTTTTGCTAATAGTTCTTGGCTATAGTTTAGCATATTTTTAGCTTTTAGCAAAGGGTTTGCTAATTTTAGCTATTAGCTATTGTTTTCTGGCTTTTGTTTTGCTTGTCTTAACATTAACAGTTAACAGTTCTTTCTTTAACAAATAGTTTTTAACATCAGGTTTGCCTTATTTAGCTTTTAGCAATTGCTTTTTGGCTTTTGTTTAGCTTATTTTAACTTTAGCAATTATGTTAACAGTTCAGTCTTATTTAATTTAATTTCACCTTTGCAGTAGATTTCTCCATCTTTCTCGGTCTGAGTGGTCGACTCCAGGCTCCTCCCACATTTTGCACAGCGGAAACAGTTCTTATGCCACGGCTGAGAAAAGAAACGCAAAGATTTTCATGCTAATGCAGAAACTGATAGCAGTTTATTAAAAGGCAAAGGCAGAATTATACTTATGTGTTTTGTCTGTGTGCATGTGCTTGTCTGTCTGTTAGCAAAGTATTTCACAGACAACTAAACAGATTTTAATGAAAATTTCCAGAAAGTAATTACGGGTCGACATCTATAACTGATTAACTTTTGGACTCAACATAATTCAAGATGTGCGCCACAGCCAGTCGAGCTTAAAAAACACAAAAATTGCCATAACTCAGCCCGATTAATAGATATTGAATAAAAACTTGGGGTGGTAGTAGCTGAGAATCATTCACAACACAAAGTCCAAGTGCAAACAGATCCTGCAAGATCTCGCATGGGACCACATCCTGTTACTTTTAACGTCTGACTAAAATCACTGCAACTTCTTTCTTCCTCCCATCTGAAGCCGATCTGAACCCTGGCATGAAGCGGGCGACATGCATTCTGTCAGGGAACGTTACGTCTTTTGTTGTTTCTGACTTCATCATGTTAAAGCCACATATTTTCATATCGCACATTTTTAGGTCTGAGCAATGTTATGACCAAATGAAACATTTTGATTCATAACTGCTGATGTTTTTTGATCCAGTAAAACTTTGTTTCAAGTAACCCATAAGAAATCAATAAATAAAACTTTCCACCCGGCCTGGGACAGCTCTGAATGTCTTCATTACATCAAATTATAGGTTAGCGTTTCACCAGTAAGTGGCTCCTTCCCTTCTCAGCAGGATCAACCTCAACAGCTCTGCTTCTTCTGACATCATCTGCTATAAATCAGCTCATTAGTGAATCCACAAGCCGTCAGCTAAGATGTACACTCCACACTCATTTTAAATTAGAAAAACCCTCCCCTCTCTTTTGCAGACTTATTTTCTTTTTCACAAATGTGCCGAAACTCTGCGACCTTCTTCCTTTCCAGGAATACATCCTGCAGAATCCCACAGAAGTCAGAAGTATGAGTCCTGAGCTCTGATCTGCACGCTAACGTGCGAGCCGGCAGCTCTTATGGGGCTGCTTCAGTTGGAAACGTTGTGTTCTGTCATTTGCAGGGACCACACCAAACCTCCTGCATGTGGACCACGTGCATTTAGTCCAGTTCCACACATGTGGTTCCCGATGCACGCTGTGATCCTGGAGGATCTGACCAAACCAACACTTTCTGGGTAAGAGGGTGGATTTCACACTAAAACTATAATGATAGTTTATTAAAATGGGAATTATATGTTGATGAGTTATTTAAAGTTAGTCCATGTGGAATGATTACATTTAGTTGTTAGAAGGCCTGTCACGAGAACAAATTTTGCTGGGCGATTAATTGTCTCTGAAATTATTGCGATAAACGATAATATTTTTTTTTTATTTGACAATAATTAGTAATTATTGTCAAATTTAAGAAGAAATGTAAGTTTTCTTGTAGTATCTTTTTTACCACTGGATGGCAGTATAAGATTGTTTGAACTGAAGGATGGATAGTGAGGGAGCAAGCAGCGTGTCTCTTTAAGAAAAATGGGAGGGAGGCCCCTTGACGTGACATGGGCTGTCTCTTCCTGTTTTTCTGTTTTCAAAATGGCGGACGCTCGGTGTGGTTTGAGCTCTTTAGCATAGCATTTTTCACACAACGCTTTTAATAAAAAAATCAGTAAACAAGTTCTCTGCTTCTTTCTGCAGAGAAAAACAACTTTTTACACTAAGGCACGGGTTTCAACCGTGCATTTTGGAGCTTCGACAAGACGGAGGTTTTTCCCCGAGGTCGGCCGGTTAGCTTAGCTCGTAGCTTAGCTCCTCAACTTAGTTGCTTTTAACGATACAAAAACGCGATTTGGGACAGGTAACGGATCCAGTGTCTTCAGAAAGAGAGAGACGTGAAGAAACGATAAAGCCGATAAATGAAAAGGACGTTGATAATTTTCATTTATCATGCGATTAATTGATTTACTGTTTATCGCGACAGCCCTAGTTGTTAATGTAAATATGAAAACAAACTACGAGGTGCAAGAACATGTTACATTTTCCCCTCTTCAGGGGTCACCACAGCGAGTCATCCTCCTCCATCTCACTCTGTCTCACTCCAACTACCTCCATGTCCTCTCATCCATACATCTCCTCTTTGTCTTTTAGAAGCAAGAATGTTGGGTCTGTTGTGAAAAAGTGGACTGAATATTTCACAGCTAGGTCTTCAGGGGTGTACTAGCTGAAAAACTTCTCCATATAAACGATGCCACAACTTTAGAAACCATTAGTCTGATGCTTTCAGCCTAAAGCAAGACAATTTAAAAACTATTCAAACAACATGTAGGTTTCCTTTCACTTCATGCACAGCTGAATCTAACATCGTCTGGAGACCCTTTAACACATTAACACAATAAACATCAAAAAACACAGTTTCAGGTTCACAAGTTTTCAGTCAGAAATCATCATCATTGCTCAAAAAAGTGAGGCAGGTTTAACTTTGAAGACAACATTCATCCTTCAACCAACAGCCATAGCAGCCATTCTGAATGAGCTGAACATTTTGTTGTATGAGTGGCTAAAATAGCACAAAGTATGTTAAAGTAGTTAGATTGTCAAAAAAACTTTCAGAAAACTTAAAAACAGATGGTGTAGTTGCTGGTTCATAAAATGATTAGTTTAACCAGATATTGTGATTAAAGTAGGCTCTGGATCAAGTCCTCACCTTGCCCGCCCCCATGATTTTCTCAGCTGCGTACACAGAGTCTCCACAACGAGCACATTTCTCCGTCCCTCCAAACTTCTGGGCAAACCTGGACGGGTTGGGGTTGGTGGTGGGTCTGTGGGTCTGGGTCCTTGAAGGGACAAACAAAGAAAGAGGTGACAAAATCTATTTCTCTGTATTTTTGACCGTCTATCCTTCATTTAAGGCAGACACGATTCCCAGTCTTTGCTGATGAAATATATCCACACAGCATAATACTCCTACCACCATGCTTCACTGAAAGAATGATGTTCTCAGAACTAGAATGCCCCTGGAGAAACTTTGACAGGGACTGCCACGTGGTGGCCATTTTAAAATTTTGATTTTACAGCACTGTGTTGGGGTTCGCTCTCAGCTACCAACACACAAAATTTCTGCTCAATATGGCAACAAAAAAAAAAAATCAAAGATTTATAGTATTCTTTCTTATAAGCTATGGTGGCCATCTTGGATTTTCGATTTGGATTCAGTGTGTGATAGGGAACATTCTCAGCTATAACTTCACCAAATTTCAGCTCCATATGCGTAAAAATAGCTGAGTTAAATACATTTAAATGTAGCTTTGGTGGCCATCTTTGATTTTTTATTTGAATTCAGTATTTATAATAATAATTAAAAAAACAACAATAATACTTTATTTATTGTTAAACAATATTGGCATATAACAATAACAATGTTGGCGTATTGTTTTTGTACTACTAGTACTTAGTGTGTTCTTAGTTCATACCTTAGATCTTATAACTGTTTTTCTTTACATCCTTCTTTTGTTGGATGTAACTGGGACCCTGGGTACACAGTTTTGTTCCACCTCATGTACCACATGTGGTGCGAATGACAATAAAGAACCTTAACCTTAACTTAAAGACCTTTAAAACAACCACAGCTGCAATAAAGTGCTGTATGCAAGAGTTTTAAAACTGGACAGTGAAGGGGCTTGTCTGATGGGAAGAGGGAGATCGTTCCAAAGTCTTGGAGAGAAAACTCTGTCTCCTCTGAGCCTCCGTTTGGAGCTCGGCACCTCCAGGAGCAGGAGAGTATGGGTGAAGCAGCTCAGAGAGGTAGGATGGGGCAAAACCATTAAACTTTTAAAACAAATAAAAGAATCTTCAAATGAACAGGCAGCCAGTGGAGTGAAGCCAGAGGGGGGGGGGGTGATGTGCTCCCTCTTTTGAACTCCAGTTAGAAGCTGAGCAGCACCGTTCTGGACCAACTGGAGACGTCTGAGGGAGGACTGGCTGACTCCAAGGTAAAGAGCGTTGCAGTAATCCAGCGGAGATGTGATGAAGCCATGGATTACTGTTTCCAGTTTCTATTGTGAGGATGGCCTTTACCTTAGCCAGATGTCTGAGGTGATACAAACTGGCCTATGGTGGGCACAGCCCTCAGCTACCACTACACAAATTTCAGCTTAATATCTCTAAAAATGGCTGATTTATAGTTTGAATCAATGAGAAAATTTGTCTTTGTTTGCAAATTACGTTGCCATGCTAACTCAAAATGCCAATAAAAGCAATAGCACACATCATGGTTCCAAGCCGGTCCTTTTGACGTAACATTTGTGGGGGACACGTTGTGATTTCAATTCAAATTCAATTCAATTCAAAAATATGTTATTAATCCCAAAGGGGAATAAACTGTTGTTGTAGCTCATCATTCTGGTTTCATTAGAGTTGTTATAGATGCTGATGGCTGTGGGCAGGAAGAATCTCTTGTAGTAGTCCGTCCCACAGTGGATCTGAAGAAACTGGTTGCAGATGCTGTCCACCCAAACCCAACAGACCTCTCGTCCTCTTGGGCAGCAGGACTGCTTGAATGCCGGGCAGAACTCCTCCCCGAGCGATGGCCATTTCTCCCAGCAGCCTGCCGAGCTCCTCGTCGCTGTAGAATTAACTGCCGGTCCCGGGGGATGATCTTGGTCCTCCCACTGTCAAGAACTGCGTTTCCCGCTACCTCCAAGATCTCGGTGGTCAGGCACTCGAGCACTGTCTCCAGGTAGAGGGGAATGCATCCACATCACCTCCTTTTCAACTCATTTGGGATCTGGGGCTGTATTTGAGGTAATATTTGAGCTATGAGATGTTAGTCGGCAGCTCCCAGTTTTGAAAACCACCTTGTTTCCATAGTTACGCATCAAAACAAATGTCCATAAGTCAAAAAGGTTTCAGTAAAAATCCTTACAGCTGCACAACATCCAATACCAGAGGAAGTAATCATCTGAAAAAAGCGATTTATATCCAGAAAAACAGAGGAATTAAAGTTTTCAAAAGGACAATCTCAAAATGAACGTAGAGCTACTCCAACATGTAGCCACCCTGAGCGGCGCAATTCTAGAGCAGCAGTTCAGGCCACATTAAAGTTGAAGGAAGAGCAGGACCCTCTTCAGGTGGATAATAACAGGTGGCTGCCTTACTAGGCAGTCCGCAATGGTCTCAACACCCAGACATCATTCATTCAACCTTTATTTATACAGGTTAGTCTCATTGAGCCTCGAGGACTCATTTATAAGAGAGATCTGTGAATCATGATGCCCTTGATGGCCAAAAACACATTCTTTAGTCTCTTTAGATCACAGATTTTCGCCCACATATAGAATTACATGTTATGTTCTGTCTGGAACAGATCCCTTTTGTAAATTGAGTCGCTATGAGACTAGCCTGTAAAAATAAAGGTTGAATGAAGAAAAACAGACTTTTGTCCACATGTAGAAGAAATTGCAAGAAATGTTTTTCTTTGTGAGCTGGTTGAAGCAGATGGCCGCTCATCCTGAGCCTGGTTCTGCTGGAGGTTTATTCTTGTTAAAAGTGAGTTTTTTCCTTTCCACTGTCTCCTTTGTGCTTGCTCAGGATGGGAGACTGCGACAAAGTGAAGATTCAACACAATCTGCTGCTTCCTTAGATAGAGAACTTTTATTAATCAGCATTTTTAACGTATGTGAATGTTTCTGTTCAGTGCCCTGAGACGACTTCTGTTGTGACTTGGTGCTGTATAAATAAACTGAATTGAATTGAAAGTATAAACAGAAAGGAAGAAAACTAACATTTACAGTAATGCTATCTACAGAACAGAAATTAGTAATGAATGGTGCTTACCAGAGATTCAAATTAATCTTTAAATCTGTCTGTTTAAAAGGTAAATGATATGTAATATAAATGGACTAAACCCGTCTCCTTATGTTGGCGATCTCGGTCACTGGTGGGACACTTAGCAGCCCACCCTGGAACAGTGTTTATTGGTGTCTGACTGAATGAAGTCCTTTGTTGAGGAGGACAGAGAGCCTGGTGAGCAAGATTCTTCGAGTTACATAACAAACTCTTTCATAACTACAATCACCTGATGGTCTGGGAGGGATAAACACTCTCTGAACTTTTCCATGTTTTGTCACATTACAATCACAAAATTCATTATATTTTCTTAGAATTTTTGTGATGGAACAGAAAGTAGCAGATAATTGTGAAGTAGAAGGAAAGTGATACGCTGTTTTCAAATTATTTTACAAAAATAAAAATTGCGGTGGTGGTGCTCATTTATCCTCTTTAATACCCTGAACTAAATTCCAGAGCACTTACCTATCATCTAATTCCTAAATAGAGTTCACATGTGTGTAATGTAATCTCAGTTTAAATCCGGCTGTTCTGTGAAGGCCTAAGAGGTTGCAGAACATGAGTGATCAACAGCATCATGAAGACCAACGAACATACCAGCATGGTCAGGAATAAAAAGTTGTTCAAGTTTAAAGCAGAGTTAGGCTATAAAACAATATCTCAAGCTTTTAGCATCTCATGGAGCGCTGATCAATTCATCACCTGACAAGCGGTATGTCGATGTCCCTCGTTGGTCAGATGGGTCAGGTGGCAGGGGAAGATGCCAGACAGACCCGGTAGACCCAAACACGTAGTGAGGGTTTGGTGGGAATGCCTGGCAGAAGAACTCATCAGAAAGATCTTCAACTCACACCTCCAGGAGAGCTTTAACCACATCCCAGCTGAGACAGGGGACACTGAGTCCGAGTGGGCCATGTTGCGTGCCTCAGTTATCAAGGTAGCTGCCTTGAGCTGTGGTTGCAAGGTTGGCGGTGCTTCTCGAAGTGGCCATTCTTGAGCTCAGTGGTGGACACCCCAGGTTAGGTAGGCTGTCAAGCTGAAGAAGAATTCCTATCGGGAACTGTTGGCTAGTGGGACTCCGGAGGTAGCTGAGGAGTACCGGAGGGCCAAATGGTCTGCAGCCTTGGCTGTTGCTGAGGCAAAAGCTCGGATGTGGGAGGAGTTCGGTAAGACCCTGGATAGACTCTTGGTCAGCTCTGAGGAGATTCTGGCAAACCATCAGGCGGCCAAGGAGGGGAAAGCAGCTCTTTGCTAACACTGTGTTCAGTGAAGGTGAGGTGCTGTTGACCTCAACCAGTGATGTCATCGGGAGGTGGAAGGAATACTTCTTGGACCTTCTCAATCCCACCAGCACATCTACGATGGAGGAAGCTGGGTTGGGGGACTCCAGGGTTGGTCTGTCCATAACCATGGCTGAAGTCGCCGAGGTAGTTAAAAAGCTCCACGGCGGCGGGGCTCTGGGAGTAGATGAGATTTGCCCTGATTTCCTTAAGGCTCTGGATGTTGTGGGGCTGTCTTGGTTGATACGCCTTTGCAATATCGCATTGACAATGGAGGCAGTGCCACAGGAGGCAGTGCCACTGGATTGGCAGACTGGGGTGGTGGTTCCCCTCTTCAAAAAGTGGGGCCTGGAGGATGTGCTCCAATTATAGGGGCATCACTCTCCTCAGCCTCCTTGGTAAGGTCTATTCAGGGGTACTGGAGAAGCGAGTCCGATCGTTGGTTGAATTTCAGATCCAAGAGGAGCAATGGGAGTTCCGTCCTAGCCGTGGAACACTGTAACAGATCTTTACCCTCACTAGGGTCCTCGGGGGTCATAGGAGTTTGCCCATCCAGTCTATATGTGTTTTGTAGACTTGGAGAAGGCATTCGACCATGTTCTTCGAGGTCCACTGTGGGGGTTGTTCCATGAGTATGGGATTGGGAGCCACTTGTTACGGGCTGTTCAGACCTAAACAAGCGGTGCGAGAGTTTGGTTCGCATTGCTGGCAGTAAGTCGGACCCCTTCAGGGTGGGAGTTGGACTCCGCCAGGGCTGCCTGTTGTCCCGATTCTGTTCATAACTTTTATGGACAGAATTTCTCGGTGCAGCCAGTGGGCAGAGGGAGTCCGGTTCAGTGGCCTCAGGATTCCATCTCTGCTCTTTGCAGATGATGTGGTCCTTTTGGCATCATGGTTCCAAGATCTTCAGCTCTCCCTGGAATGGTTCGCAACCGAGTGTGAAGCGGCTTGGATGAGAATCAGCCCCTCCAAATCTGAGGCCATGGTCCTCAACCGGAAAAGGGTGGATTGCTCTCTTTAGGTCGAGGTTCTGCCTCAAGTGGAGGAGTTCAAGTACCTCGGGTTTTGTCCACGAGTGAGGGAAGAATGGAGCTTGAGATTGACAGACGGATTGGTGCAGCATCTGCAGTATTGCGGACTCTGTACCAGTCTGTTGTGGTGAAGAGGGAGCTGAGCTGTAATGCAAAGCGCTCTGTTTACTGGTCAGTCTATGTTCCTACCCTCACTTATGGCCACGAACTCTGGGTAGTGACTGAAAAAATGAGATTGTGGATACAGGTGGTTGAAATGTGTTTCCTCTACAGGGTAGCTGGACTCTCCCTTAGCGATAGGGTGAGAAGTTCAGTTATCCAGAGAGACTCAAGAGTAGAACTGCTGCTCCTCCACATGGAGAGGAGCCAGTTGAGGTGGTTCGAGCATCTGGTAAGGATGCTTCCTGGGTACCTCCCTAGGGAGGTGCTTTAGGCATGTCCGAGTGAGAGGAGACCCCGGGGAAAACCCAGAACACGCTGGAGAGACTACGTCTTTCGGTTGGCCTGGGAACACCTTGGAGTCCTCACAGAAGAGCTGGAAGAGGTGGCTGTGAAAAGTGATGTCTGGACCTCCCTGCTGAAGATGCTGCCCCGAAACCTGAGTCCAGAACAAGTGGAAGATGATGGATGTATGGATGGATGTTTTCATTTTTGGGTCGGTTAGCATCGAGATGACTGGACTTGTTGCCAAACAGCTGCTAAGCTCCACATTTATGTTTTATTTACTTAAAAGTGAGCTAGTTTTGATTAGGTTATTTATACACAAATATGAGAATGACTCAAATCTGCCTGTATAGTTTAGTGTTCAATTCAAAGTAGACGTGCACATCACACTTCTGTTGGGGCTTTTCTTTGTCATAACAGGTAAAAATGAAAATACGAACTTATGAAACTTTATAAGCTGTGTTGTGTTTTGCGTCTTCAGACGACGAGAGAAAAAAATGGCTCCTTAGATAGTAAAGCTTGTTTAGATAAACAGATGGAGACATGATATGCCTGCCTTCGACAGGCGTAAAGAATGTTTAATATATCATGCATCACTGAAGCTGGAATTTCAGCGAAAAGTGGTTTTACTAAATGTTCACTTATGGGGTGAACACAAATGCATGATACAGCTTTTAGCTTTTTGTTTGTACAAAAAAAAGGAAGAAAAAGAAAAACATGTTTCCTTCCACTTCTGAGAGACTAATATCACGGAGGCGTGTGTCCCGCTCCAGGGCCTCTGCTGCAGACTTGGATTGTTTCTGCTCAGCGAGCCAAGTGGGATTTGATGAGGCAACAGACCGTTGGCTCGTTTTTCCACTCAAAGCTTTTGTGGTTCAGTTAGTGGAAAAAAATGACAAAATGCATGAAGAGGACACAAGCTATACATTTGCTGAAGTATTACAAGAATAATGCTCTGGACTTTAATGAAGACATTCACACAAATAAAGATTGTTTAAAGTAATACAGATCCAGGGCCACTTTTCCTGTTACAGTTTTAGACTTTCTTATGATGAGACCTGAGAGAGCTGGAGTTCTTTTGTCACCCATGAACCTTCAAATAACACTGGAAGATGTCACCCTCAGAGTTTGAGTTGTGAATGACTCTCAGCTGCGACCACAGCTAAAGTTAGTTCAATTTATGAAAATTCAACTAAGTTATAGCCATTTTTGTGTTGGCTAATGTCGATTAGCTGAGGCAACTATCTTCAATTTGTTGGACTCTGGAAGCTAATCATTTGTAGAGTTTCATCCAGTGGTTACAGTCTCAAAGTGTAATAAAAGTCCATTCAGTTGTTTGTTAGATATTTTGCTAACAGACAGACTGAGCTGATTCAAACAGTTAATCCTAAAGTTTTAAGCAAAGACCTCTTGCAATAAGTTGCACTTGTAATGTGTGTTGTAAATGACTCTCAGCTACAACCAAAGTAATGTTGGCACAAAATCCATAAAAGTGACTGGATTATAACAAGTCTTATGTTTCCCAAGGTGTGTTGGCTGTGGCGGCCATCTTAAACTGAATTATTATTAGAAAGTTCCTGGAGAAACTTTGACGGGGACTTCCACATCAAAGTCGTTTTAAAATTTTGATTTGACAGTACTAAAAGTTGGGGTTCGCTCGCAGCTACCACCTTTCAGCTCAATGTGGCAAAAAAAAAAAATCAATGACTTATAGTATTTTTTTCTTATAAGCGCTGGTGGCCATCTTGGAGTTTTGACTTGTGTTCAGTATGTGACGGGGAACATTCTCAGCTATAACCACACCAAATTTCAGCTCTATATGTGTAAAAACAGCTGAGTTAAAGCCATTTAAATGTAGCTTTGGTAACCATATTGAATATTTTATTACAAACCGGATTCCAAAAAGTTGGGACACTAAACAAATTGTGAATAAAAACTGAATGCAATGATGTGGAGATGGCAAATGTCAATATTTTATTCGTAATATAACAGATGACAGATCAAAAGTTTAATCTGAGTAAATGTAACATTTTAGAGGAAAATTATGTTGATTCAAAATTTCACAATGTCAACAAATCCCAAAAAAGTTGGGACAAGTAGCAATAAGTGGCTGGAAAAAGGAAATTGAGCATATAACGAACACCTGGAAGACCAATTAACACTAATTAGGTCAATTGACAACATGATTGGGAATAAAAAGAACTTCTAAGAGTGTCAGTGTCTCTCAGAAGCCAAGATGGTAAGAGGATCACCAATTCCACCATTGTTGCACAGAAAGATAGTGCAACAATACTAGAATGGTGTTACCCAGCGTAAAATAGCAAAGACTTTTAAGTTATCATCATCAGCCGTGCATAACATCATCAAAAGATTCAGAGAATCTGGAACAGTCGCTGTGCGTAAGGGTCAAGGCCGTAAAACTCTACTGGATGCTCGTGATCTCCGGGCCCTTAAACGTCACTGCACCTCAAACAGGAATGCCACTGTCAAGGAAATAACAGAATGGGCTCAGGAATACTTCCAGAAAGCATTGTCAGTGAACACAATCCACCGTGCCATCCGCCGTTGCCAGCTGAAACTCTACAGTGCAAAGAGGAAGCCATTTCTAAGCAAGCTCCACAAGCTCAGACGTTTGCAGTGGGCCAGGGGTCATTTAAAATGGAGTGTGGCAAAATGGAAGACTTCAGTGGTCAGATGAGTCACGATTTGAAGTTCTTTATGGAACACTGGGACGCCATGTCGTCCGGACCAGAGAGGACAAGGATAGCCCAAGTTGTTATCAACGCTCCGTTCAGAAGCCTGCATCACTGATGGTATGGGGTTGCATGAGCGCTTGTGGCATGGG